TATATTTGTATATACACACACATACATGCATATACCCTCACAAACATAGATGTATTGATTCACCAAAGAACAGATATGATGTATGATGTACACCAAAATGTTAACAAAAGTTTTCAGGGTGAAGTCATTGTCTTTTAAACATTATTTGTTATGCTTTTCTTCACTTCTCAATTTTTTAAATGAATATATATCGCTTTTACATTCAGAACAAATGTAATTTGAAATCCTGTTTCAAGGGATAGGAGTTCGTGGTGGCCAGAGTGTGGTAGGACAGCTCACGTACCCTGCCCAGGGTGGTGTAAATGAGCACACACTTCCTGAGGGTGATTTGGCAAAACACATCAAAGCCTTTCAAGTGTTCACACATTTGACCAGTCCTTCTTCTTAGAATCTCTCCAAAGGAAATAACCAGAGATGCCAAGATACCCATACAGGATGTTTATCACAGAGTTATCTGTGGTATGACATTTTGAATACAATAATATACTTCCTGACAAGAGGGAACAGGTTGAATAAAAGATAGTGCATCCATCTGATGTATTTTATGCAGGGTCAATATATGTTGGAACAACTCTTAATAGCATAAGAAATTGTTTGAGCTGTATTGAATTTTAAAAGATTAAAATCTATATATAGTCTGATCATAAATCTGTTCAAAAAGTCTCTAAGTCTGGGGGCGCCTGGCTGGCTCAGTCAGAGGAGCACGCAACTCTTGATCTTAGCGTTGGAAGTTTGAGTCCCATGTTTTGGGTGTAGAGACTACTTAAAAATAAAATCTTTATAAAAAGAAATGTAAGTCTGTATGTGCACACACACATGCACAGCATCACCTAGAAAGAAGACTGGAAGAGTGTGTGTGTGTGCAATTAACATAGTTTGTTGAGTGGAGGGATTTTTATTGCCTTCTGTACACTGTTCTGAATTTCCCAAATATTCTACAAAAAGTATGCATTACTTCTATAATCAGAAAATGAACAACTTTTTTTAAAAGAGAAAACAAAGTTCCCTCTTCACCAAATGGAGGATGGAGTATGGGGAAGCAGGTGGACTCGTGGGGACCAGCTAGGAGCTCCTGCATTACAAGTGGGAATGAAGAGCAGGGGAAAGGTTCGAGATACTGGGGAGGCAGAAAGGTCAGGATTTGCTGACCTTTGCATGCCAGAGGGAGTCAGGTATGAGTCTCAGGTGCGTGGATTAGGGTAAGGAATACAGCCTACGGTAGCCAGCTTCTGACGGGCTCCAGGGCCCCTTGCCTCCTGATCCACCCTGTACCGTCCCTCTCACCCTGAATAGAGCAGACCTGTGTCACCACGGGATCGAGCAGAAATGACAGGGTGTGCTTTGTGAAGCAGGGGCATAGAAGAGATTGACAGAAAGTAGGATGGAAGTTCCTAGGAGTTCTGGGGAGGTGAGGGCAGGGGAGACTGCGGGAGGATGAAGTCCTAAGGATGGATGGTGGTGATGGTTATACAACAATGTGAATGCCCTTCATACCATTGAACTGTACGGTTAAAAATGGTTAAAACGGTAAATTTTATGTTGTGTATATTTTAACCATAATAATAAAATTTTTTTAATATAAAAAAGGTAGGGCTCTGCCTTGTCTCTCACGCCAGGGCCCTGGGGGAAGCCAGCCACCACGTGGTGAGCACATTCAGGCGGCCCTGCCAGAGGCGGGGTGTGGAGGAACCCAGGCCTATGGCCATCAGCACCACGAGCACACCGGGTATGTGCATGAGCCCCCAGAAAGCAGGTCCTCCAGCCCCCTCAGCTGAAGACAGAAACCATATAAAATAATATTGATTAACATTTGGAGGCATTTGTTATCCAGCAATAGAAAGAGGCACAGACTTGAGCCATCTGGTACTCTTCGGTGTCTCGTACCACCATCTCGTTTGTCCAGCTTCCGATGAGGATGTGGAAGGCTGGCAAGAGGCGCATTCCCAGCGTGACAACAAACACTAGGTAACGTGCAGAATCTCAGTCTGCAGCACAGAGGCGAGCAGGGCTTGCGGCGGGCTCCCCACCAGGCCCACCAAGGGGCGCCAGAAAGATCGGAAGGCGCGAGGTTCCCGAGCACAGCCGCCCAGCTGCGGAACGAGGGGTCAGCTTCCTGCAGGTAGCACCTCAGGGCTTCCCACAGGCCTCCCTTCTTGCCTCTCTTCCTCCAATAATACCGTTTGACCAGTTCCCTGAATTACATCCTCTTCGCTCAAATCCCCACGTGGTTTCTGTTTTCCTAACTGGCCCCCAGCGGATACAGCAGGTGGACCAGAGTCCACTCAATTACTGTACCAGCGCCAGCTGGGCTGGTGGGGGCACAGGTGTAAGCGAGGGGGCTCCCACCTGCCGGGCGAACCATCACCCCGACGGCCCTTCCTGGGCCTCGCCTGCCAACCTCCGCCCACCCAGCCGAGCTCACACGCGTGTTCCCCCAGCTCGGCACTTTTCCCTGGGCTCTCCCCGCCTTTTGAGCCCAACTCGCCTAAAATTGGACAATAAGAAAATGGGACACCTCGGCATGTGGGGGAGCAAGTGCAGAGGAGGAAGGAATTTGTTTTTTCTTTGTTGTTGTTTGTTTCTTTTATACCTTGGGAGAGACAGTAAGAGAAAAGGATGATTTCTTCTCAGGCTGACTTTCATTGTCTACTTTCTTTTTTCCTTGATCTTTTCATTCTGGTGGAAAGTCGCTGGACCAAAAAGAGAAACCCAGGACTTCAGGTTCATTCCTATCCTACACCTTTTTTTTTTTTTTAAGATTTTTTATTTATTTATTCATGAGAGATAGAGAGAGAGAGAGGCAGAGGCAGAGGGAGAAGCAGGCTCCCCGTGGAGCAGGGAGCCCGACGTGGGGCTCGATCCCAGGACCCTGGGATCATGACCTGAGCCGAAGGCAGACGTTTAACCGACTGAGCCACCCAGGCGTCCCATCCTACACCTTTTCTTATGTCAGGTGGCCAGCCTAACTGCTTCTGCTCACTTTTACCCACCAGAAGGGTGCCGGAAAGATGATGAGAAGGTAAGGAGCACGCACACGTGCATGCCACACACCTGTGTTCTGGCCTGCACGCTCATTTCCCTCATTGAAATAATAGTACTAAAACTTTCAACAGTGTATTAAAAAGTTTCCAGGAGAGGTCTTCATGGACTTGTTTTGAGAAATTACAGAAATTTCACTCCCCAGTCTTACCGTTTATGAAGTAGGAACTGAGTGAAAAAATGACAATCTACCACCTGAAGAGGACCCCAGCCCCGTAACAAAAAGTTTTTGTTTTTTTTTTAAATTTTAAGTGCAATCTGCTCCCCACCGTGGGGCTTGAACTCACAACCCCAAGATCAAGAGCCACATGTCTACTAACCAAGCCAGCCAGGTGCCCCAACAAAAAAGTATTTTGAAGACACAAAATAAAGCAATACAACTTAGACCGCATGCTGCCATGCTTGTCTAGATTATGCCCTAAATGGGGATGACAGCCCCAGGGAGGCAAAAAGGGTGGTTAGTGGATGAGACAAATTTTAGTACGCTCCAAAAGGTCTCAGTCCAGAAACATAAATATACCTGGGGTGGTAAATTTTCATGGACGGGTAGTATTTAGGAAAAAGTGTTAGCAAGGCTGCTTGGGACAGGAGAGTGGGCTGTAAGGAAAAGTGTGGAGAAGCACTGTCCTGGGTGAGACCACACGCACTTGCTCACCCTTTGCTCGAGCATACCCCTTAGCATTGTACTTCCTTCCAGATCTGTAAGAAACTCTGCAGAAACATAATCTTTGCTTGAGTAAGAAGAGTCTGGAATATAACCCAGGAGAGAATGTAATGCCAACTGATTTTCAACCGCAGCTAACGGTGCCTTTTTTAAAAGCTTGAGTGTCAGCGCTCCAACACATGGCTTCCTTTCTTGCCAACACATTTTGGGTTGTGGCTAAATAGCTTCTTTCTTTATCTCAAACGGTCACTTTTTCCAGAAGAAAGAAGGGTTTCAAGCCACCCTGGTCCCTCTAGGTCAGACTAGGCTCCTTGTGTGCAGTCCCCACTGACCCACATCACAGAGGATGTGTGTTACCATGTGGATGAACGCGAGTCACCAAGCATGCGGGCTCCACTTGATTTTGATGACACGTGTGTGCCTTTGTCTGATAAGCGTTCTCTTGTCTGTGCAGCTCACATCCTGACGTGGCATTGCTGTTACCAGAGAATTAGTTCTCCCCATGGCTTCTGGCCCCAGCTACCAATTACACCATTACATCAGCTTCACAAATACTTTATAAGATATTCCAGTTGCCCAGACCGTATGCACACTTGCACTCAGAGACTCACGACATGCGCTCACTTCCTAATCATCAACCTCTGCCAAATTCTAATACCATCCACTACCCAGGGCCTTCAGCTATTCCATCACTTTGTTCAAGTATCATGAACAAGGTTTTGTGCTCAGTGATGTAAGGGGCTAACAAGATTTGAAAAGCACAGTTGCTGCATATGGAGAGAAAGAGAAGTATACAAATAATACAGCATAAGGCACTTTCCCCAATTATGGAAGGGATGGACAAACCAGAGCTGCTGGAGTCTCAGAGGAGGGAGAGCTCATTCCCACAAGCAAGAAGTTGGGGAGACTCCAGGGAGAGCTGGGGTACTGAGGGGAACACTGCAATGAAAGATGCTGAGCAGCATGGGCCAAAGGGTAAGCGCAGAAAGCACAACCAAACAGAACAGGAGCTCAGAAGGGCAAGGCTTGCCTTCCATGACCTGTAAAGTGTTTGTTTGTTTGTTTGTTTGTTCGCGTTAAGTAGGCTCCATGCCCAGCATGGAGCCCAACATGGGGCTCGAACTCACGACCCTGATATCAAGACCTGAGCTGAAATCAAGAGTCGGACGCTTAACCCACTGAGCCACCCAGGTGCCCCCAGCCTGTAAAGTTTTTTATAGTCAAAAGTCTTAACACCAAATATTTTAAAACTGGGAGTATATCATTTTACCTTAGAAAAAAACTTAAGAGCATTTACCTTCAGTTGGAAATTTCTTGGCTCGTTCCTCAAAGAACCATTCTCCAGTTTTTATTTTCACATTTCTGAAAAACAAGCAGAAAGGAAGCCTCAGACAGAGATGTGGATGGTGCTGTATTTGGCTCATGAGAGGTAGGTAGATACTATCACATAAGATTCGTCTTGCAAGGGTCCTCCAAGTTCAAATTTCTGGCCCCAAACCCTACGTTACAGATCTCCTGTAGAGGTTAAATGATCTGACCAGTCAGCAGCAAAGCTGGGAGTCTCTGCTTGGGTCTATTTTATCCTATATGTAACATGTGCATGCAATGTATACATACTAACATATGTGTGTGACCAACACATATTAAGTACTTCATGTTTTCTGAATAAATATACAAGGAGAAACAAAATTACCATCAAAATGATCAGTTATTATTTTTACGGCAGTAAACAATGGCATGAAAGATAGTCAACAAAAAATCCTAGGTTAAGGTTAGTTTGTATTTGTTTGGGGTTTTTTTTTTAAAGATTTTATTTATTTATTTGACAGAGACACAGTGAAAGAGGGAACACAAGCAGGGGGAGTGGGAGAAGGAGAAGCAGGCTTCCCACAGAGCAGGGAGCCCGATGCGGGACTCGATCCCAGAACCCTGGGATCATGACCTGAGCCAAAGGCAGATGCTTAACGACTGAGCCACCCAGGCGTCCCAAGGTTAGTTTGTGTTAACCACGTTTCCTAAGAGCTAACAGAGTAGCCGAAAAGTTTCCTAGAAGGACCTGAAGTCTGGAATGTGGGATCCATGTGCTTCATGAAGACCCGGGACCTGGGTCCAAGTGGACCACCTGAGAAATGCCCTCTTCTTGGCCAGCTGCTCAGCTAGCAGGTGCTAGGGTTCCTCGGCATCCCTGCATCTCCTCCAGTCTCGGTCCCAGGAGGAACAGGTCTCTCTGTATGTGCACTGCTTGAAACCAAAGTCCCCAAATGCCTTGTGCTCTTGACAGTTCCCAAATTTCTGGAGAAGCCACCCTCAATGTCAAAAAACCTTGGAAATGTAGAATTGTTAACATCATTTTAGGATGTAAAAATGTAAACACACAGATGCTACAAGTTTTTCACACCCTTAAAATAATGCGCCACAAAACTTGCCAATTCCTGGATTATGAAAGTTTAAGAAAAATTACAACTTCAACTTATGAAATCTCGTCTATAAAGTACCAAAATAAGTTCTCCATTAGGTTCTTTCAGGCTATATATGAACTCAAATGGATTTTTCTTAACTAATGCTTACAACTGCTATAAATGTTAAGTCAATTCACAACTATATGTCCAACTATATGTTTTTAAAATACCCTCTTTCTCTACAGAGTTCTAGTAATTGTTAGAAGACACCAACCAGCTTCTTCCCCTTTATCTAGTAAGAAACTGTTATGTTCTCTGATGAGTAAGTAAATTATGATTCCCAATGCTTAGTGACTAGAACAAGGGAAAAATACACAGGACTTCTATAAATTGTGATAACAGAATTTTGATAATCAGTCACTACCCTTCAGAGCCAAAATATATAAAATGTTCAGCTGTGATATGTCTACAGAGAGACAGGGAAAAGTTTGCACCATAAAATCGAACATCTGATCTACTAAACTGACACGAAACACTGAGAACTCAGCTCCTTGGAAGTTCCCCCTCTGGTGCGTGAAGGCAAGCATGGGATCAAAAACCAGGCGAAGTTTGGAGAGATGACTGGGGCAGGTGGTGAATTCATGCTCTTTTGAAGGACCCCACTTGCCATCTATGCTCGTGGGCAACTCTTCCATCTGCAGGACGAGGTCTAACCATCAGATGAAGAGAGCTGAGGAACAAAATCAAATGTGGAAACAGGAGGCCTCCATCTAATAAATGAACTCCCCTTCCTGGACTTTTCTTCCTGGTGGTGGTGACCCTTTCAGCCAATCTACCCTGTCCTGCTCTGCAGCCTGTTACCCTTGGGACCAACAGCATCCATGTACCAGAAGGTGCGGGGATGGTGCAGGGCTCGGACTGGAAGGAGGTCAGAGCTGAGAACTCAGCGGTGCGTCAAACCACGACCCCCTATGGTCAGCCGAGGCTAGCCAGACACAGCCTGCCGCGGCGAAGCGGGCACACGGAAACACCATCACGAAAGGAAAGCTCAGCGGAGGGAGGGGGAAGGTGGAGACACCTGGGTAAATCACTGTCCTCCTCCAGCCCTGGCTTCAGAATCTATGCAGTGAATTAAAATATCTGTCTCCTGGTGCTAGGTCCTCTAACTGCATATCCCAACTGACTACTTGTGAAGTTCAAGCAGGAGCTTATTTGGCAGGACAGATCTGGACACAGACTTCAGGTCTCTCAGGCTCGTCTGTGATTAAAGAATAGAAGGATAAAAACAGCACAGTCCTAAACCGTGTGCCAAACAGCACGTTTTTTGCATTTGAGGCTGTTTCCTTTGAGAACAGATTTGAGCTGGATCTCCCAGTCCTTGCAGAATCAGCCGTTCCCAAGCAATGATTCCCTGATATCCTTCCTAAAGGCTCCCTGTCCACACCAATCCCCAGGTACAAAAAGGGGAACCCTTTGTTGCTCTTATCATCTAAGATGGCGGGGAGCAGACCTTACAGTAGCAGCACCTGCACGTCTCTGTCCTCGTTAGGGCCAACCCAGGGTAGCCTGACTCACAGCAACCAGAGGAAGTGTTTATTATTTCTTCCCAGATGATTAATCAGAACCTGGCTATGAAAGCTTCTTGAAACATTTTCTGAGCTCAGTAATAGGCTAACGCTTTTACATCCCTCAGAATTGAGACTTGCTTCTTTAAAACTTGTTCAATCAGGGGCGCCTGGGTGGCTCAGCCCATTAAGCGTCTGCTTTCATTTGGCTCAGGTCATGACCTCACGGTCCTGGGACTGAGTCCTGAATTGGGCTTCCTACTCAGCAGAGAGTCTGCTTCTCTCTCTCCCTCTCCCCTTCCCACTCATGCTTGCTCTCTCTCTCAAATGAATACCAAAAAAAAAAAAAAAAAAGTTAAAAAAAATTTTTTTCAATCAATTGACAAATACATCTCAAAAAGCAAAAGCCTAGGGTTTGTGGAGACAGCAGAAGCTCCGGAATTGGGAGAGCTGAATTTGGTATCTGACCTTGCCATTGACTCTGCGTGAGGATCATTGGCATAAATGCCCAGCACATGGTGCAGAGCCAGCTCTAACTACTGGAGGTCCCGCCGTCCATTCTCCATAGCCTTGAGCTCTGCTCATGCTGCCCTTTCATCAGCAAACAAGAAATGACTGTTGAAAAGCACTTTGCAAATCCCAGCATACAAATGTTGAATGATACAATGAATGGATGACCCGGAACAGAAAGATCGTTTGACCTGTTACTATCAGAGCAAGCAGGGAGCCAAACAGGCCTGTTGGAATGCAGCTTTACTTTGCATCTAAATTACCTGCATCTGTGGATAGTTAACTGTCCCATCCACACCTTAGGCTCTTCTAAAAGCATGATGTCCCTAGAGTTGCTTAATGTATTTTATATATATATATATTTATTTGACAGAGAGAGAGACAGCGAGAGAGGGAACACAAGCAGGGGGAGTGGGAGAGGGAGAAGCAGGCTTCCCGTGGAGCAGGGAGCCCAATGCAGGGTTCGATCCCAGGATGCTGGGATCATGACCTGAGCCGAAGGCAGACGCTTAATGACTGAGCCACCCAGGCACCCCAGAGTTGCTTAATGTATTTTCCACCATGCAAGGGACAAGAGGTGAAAATCGGTCTGCAGAGTCAGGATTCTGGGAACGCCTAGAGACACCTTTCCCCAGGGCAGATCTGCTCTCCAACCAATGTCCTGATGGCCAGAAAGCCTCAGGAGGCCCCTGGTGGCTCATCAGACCAACAAGCTGCAAAAAGTCCAAATGAAGAAGCCGAATATTATAAAACTGAGACCCCCCCGCCCCCAAACTTCTCTGTGCTAGCTTATCCACCTGTTGGGTAGTTCCCAGCTGAAGTAGTCTTAGGCAAGCATACAGTGGAATTTTATTTTATTTTTACTTCAAATAATCTCACATCTAAGATGGTTTTTAGTTACAAAGTAAAGCAGTGAGGTTTTTTTCCTGCCAGCTCAGTTGATCCGCTTTCAACATTTTCACAGGAAAAAAATACTGATCATAGTGATTAAATCCTAGGTAACTAGGGGAGGACTCAGAGAATCAAGATGAAGATAAAGAAATGATTGTATCGAGCTGCTGCCTCCCCTCCTTGCAAAACATTAGTAACTCTCCCTCAGCTGACCTCAGAGAGAAGACAGGTGCCCCTGTGTCATACTCAGGGCTGTATTCACAGCCCCAAGCGTGACTGGGGTGCATCCCAGGGGCCAGTGAATCCATGTGGGTTGGTGAATGAATAAAAAGCCCCAGTTCTGTGGGGAGCATCTTGAGAACTGTAGGGAGAAGCTGGGATCCTGCTGGGGTGCACACTGAGATCTAATGTGTGTTGGCCCCTCTAAGCACATTGGGGGGGGGGGCACGGACTCAGGCACCAGAGACTGTAAACAAGGGAAACAAGCTGGGGGCAGACAATAAGGAGGGGTGGGGACTGTGACGAGCAGGAGAAGCCGTGGCCCATTGCAAGGCATTAAAATGATACATATTATACTTCATGCAGGTCCAACACACAAGGCCCAGGGGCTGTTGGCAGCCTGTTGGCCACGCATTTGTGATTCTTGGTTTGTTACACCAGATAACTAGTTGACAAAAGTGAGAAAAATTCCACTGTAGCCGGACAGAGCTGTGCTTGAGGCCTTGACAAAAAATCGGATGAGATGCTACGCATTGCCCTATCTTCCCCAGAGATCTGGGAAGGGCCGCCCGCCGCCAAAGGGACCACAGGAAGGGTGAGAAACAAGGAGCCCATGCTTGTTGGCAATTCTTCAACCTGAAGAGATAATGGAGAGCCTCTGACAAAATGCCGGAGGCTTCTCAGGACGCACAGCACTGGGGGAACCAGGGAACCTTTCAGAAAGCACTCCGTCCTCAAAAGCACCTAAGACCTGCCTCTAGGAGAAGGAGACAGAAAG